AGTATTTTTTTTGCATTTGCCAGTTGATTAAAAAACAATGCTAATTTTAATTAATTAATTCCTTCCAGGGATCCTTTATTGCTCGGTGCAATCTTAAACACGGCCCACATTAAAGTGTGTAGGAGTTAATTGAGAGTGTGTGCACAGATTTCTGTCCCCGTGCCTGGCCTAAAGCTTCTTGTCATTCAGCGTGTGTGTTGACTTAGATCCAGGCATTAGCTGATTGCCCTGTCAACAGTGATCAGAATGCACAGGCACACAGCCCCAGTGTCCTGTGTTGATAGTTAAACTGGGAAAAACAAGGTGTTAACTAGCTGAACCTGTGCACTTTTCATTGCTCAGAAAACAAGCAAGTAATCGACAAATGTGAAAAACGCTAAAAAGGATGTGATGAGCATTGAATGAATGAGAAGAACCTAGTATAAGTATATGATCTGACCATGCTGACCAGTATTCAGACAATACGCACACTTTTATAATGGAAAATCACGTGTTGGTGTCATTCATAACATAACATGATGTCCGTATGGTCACAAAGAGCTTTGCATACTCACACTCACCCCCTTTCTCTCCTATTGAGCTCTTTCGTTCTCTCTCCCCCTCTCCCCTTTCTTCCTCCCTCCCTCTGTCTCTCCTCAGGGCCCATGCAAGAGACAGTCTACGATTTCTGGAGGATGGTGTGGCAGGAGAACACGGCAACCATCGTCATGGTGACCAACCTGGTGGAGGTGGGCAGGGTGAGTACCACGAGACCCCAGACTCACACACTCACACACTACACACAAACTCAATTCTGGTACATTTTATTGATTCACCCAATGAAGAAATAAAATAAAATAAAACGTGGACATTTTCCAGGCCTGGCATACAGAAAACAGGGTACAGACCTTGTTCAATCCAATCAACCTTTGATTAAAGCCTTGAGAGGCGTGATCAGAGAGTGATCTGACCTGTTAGTCGAATAAGCTCTCTGAAGCGGTCAAACCCATAACACTCACACACACACACACACACACACACACACACACACACACAATCTCATACGCGCGCACACACACACACACACACGCACACACACACTCACTCATACACACAAAGACAGAGAGGGCATGCCTAACCTGTCAGTGGCTCATTTAAGGAAGAGCCCCAACACCCGCTGGCACCATATCGAATCATCAAAAGGGGACCGAGTGATGCACAGCCACAAAACACTAGCCAAGCGTGTGAATCCTCCCACCACCTGGTGCTATTATTTTAACCACTCAGCCTTGGCTGTCCCATCTTGCCCCCTGTTGAGTCTCCACTCTCCAGCCCCCTTCAGTGGGCTGCAAGCAGGCAGGCCAGGGTCGGCAGGCAGGCAGGCACAGCGGCATTCTTTTCCACCATAATAATAAAAACCACTCACTCCACGACCATCGTCTGCTAGGCCGCTTCACCACTGATGAACTCTGGGAAATCCCTTCTCCCAGGCTTCTGTCGCTTTTCGCTTTCATGCCAAGCAGTTTTGTTTGTTTTCGATCCAGCCTCTCTCCGGTTTCTACTTCCCTTCTGGACTTCGGGTGTGGAGGGAGCACAAGGCACAACTGGACGCAGAGAATAACACTACCCCAGATAATGTGTTAGTAAATGACGCAGGCAGCCACCCAAAGCATATCGCTGGCTGATCGTCTTCATCATAGCTGTCAGACACGGTTGGGGTTAATAGGATATTTCTGCCAAGACTTCATCTATAGGATGCTCCTCAGGGATAAGCTAGCTGAAGTATCAGGGGGATCTGAGAGGCTGGAGTATCTGGAGCTTCTTGACATGAGCTCCATACGGTTTATGATAGTGTCACTGGATACCCAAACTTCATTTCACTGATGATCAGGGATGAAGCTGCAGTCAGCTCCACAGTGACCCTGCACACTTTATTGATCCTGTCAGATGGTGGCGGGGTACCTAGTAAGATTCGGATAGATAGCTAATCGTATTAGCCCAAATCATCCTCCCAATCTTTTATTTTGTGTGAGTGTATTTATGTTTTAAGGCTACATGACACTCTGTGACAAGTAGGAGTGCTTCGTATTGTTAAAACTCTCTTCCTATCACGGATCATGTACTTAATCCGAGTTCCTCTCAGAACGGTCACCTGCTAACCTTACATGCTTACCCAGTGTGGCACCTCTAATGAACTCCTAAGGAAGCAGCACACAACACTAGAGAGAATGGAAGTAGAACTAGTTTGACAAAGCCGTATTAGTCTCTGTGGTGGTAGGTATAAGAAAACGAGTCAGATCGTGGTTGAAGTTCCAGATAGCTCTCCTAGATTGGCATCCTTTAAAGAGGCACTATGCAGAAATCGCTCTGCCATTTCCTGGTTGCTAAAATTCTAATAGTTAGCCTAATTTCAGTTTGTGACAAAACAAGCAGTCATTGTGTAGAGAATCATTGTGCCATCTAAACCGCTGTGAAATATATTTTCCATAACCATAAATATTGTATTTTCAGCTGTTTGAAGCTGGTGTACAAAACCGGAAGTAACAGACGCAAAAACAAAACTTAAGAACAGGAAGCATAGAAATAGTGCACATAGAACAGATTTACAGCTTCTTAGACTTGCTTTCAATGACAATGAAAGATCAATAACTCAAATGTCTATGTGAATTTGGTCGGTTTGCCAAAAATATACATATTGTAGCTTTAAGCTCTTGTCTGGGCTTCCCACAAGAAGGAAATCACATGGACACAGAGATCTGAAATTCTTTAGGCTACTAGTTATGAGTCCTTGAATAGAAACATGGGATCATCTTAAAATCAGCTCCAATGACATTGAGATTCCTCTTAAAGGCTATATCAGGAAACAAGGCCTAATAGGAGCTGTAGAGGACCTGTGGAAGCATATTCATGCAACCTACTTTAGAAAATGCCTCGATTCGGTCTTATGTAGCAAAATTAGAAATTGTGTTTTTTACATTGGATAAAAGTAGAGTCTCAGAGCTAGAAAATGGTATATCATACACTGCAGTTGAGGAACAATGGGAAAGTAATTCTGCTTTGAAAGTTGATAAACTTGTAACCTCACTTTTGAGAAAATGGCCCTTGAATGTTTTGGTACACTTACTGGAGAGCTCTTCTTTGTCTACACCCATTCAGCATCGTTCATATCCTCTTAAGCATTAGCCCCACCCATCTCTTCACATGTGTGGTAAACACACACTATATCAAAGAAGTATTTGTCACATGCACAGGATACAGAAGGTGTAAACGGTACAGTGAAGTGGTTACTTGCATAGTAGCAATATCAATAACAGAAAGGGTCCAGGAAAAAAATATTTTCTACATATTTTATCGTTATTAGATGAAGCTTACCCGACACACTTGTCGAAATTGATGGGTCATGCGAGCCAGCAAGCTAAAGTTTGCTAGCTAACTAACAGTACGCTTTAACTTGCAATAAAAATGACTTTCTGACAAAATTAGAAACTTATATATGAAAGTGTAGCTAGACTCTTACCCGTATACATGTATGAACACTTCACGACAGACTGGAACTATTTAACTCTGTTTTGTTTGTAGCTACATCTTGTTTGGCCAGCATTGTGTCAAGTCACTCCGGTTCACACTGACCGTGACGTATGCAGAAAGTAGCCCATCACTTTTTCCAACTGATCTGTCGATAGCACCTGCTAAATTCAGGGCATCAATGTTGTTGAGAAAAGTAGCAAAACTTTTGTAGTTCTCGATGGCTAACGTTATATCTTTCAAAAACGGTGCGGTAGAAAAGACTGTCAACACATACTGAACAGCTCACGTTATAGACAGAAGCATGCTACATGGCAGACCAATCCAAACTCATCTCCCGGTATGTCCAGCGCGTCCATTATCTCAGCCAATCATGGCTAGCGGGAAGGTTCCTGTCTTTTTCCATGACTAAACCAAATAGGCTCATAATTTAACAATTGTATTTGTATTTATGGATGGAATACAAGTTTGTTATTAAGGCACATGAAAGTTCACATGTTCCAGAAAGCATTTCTGCCAAAAAACGTATTTTGATAAAAAAAATAATGTTTACGTTCAAATGCCGCTCCTGTGAAGTAGTGACTTGCGACATACGCCTAGTTTCCTGAAACAAGTCAAAAATGTCCTCCAAGATCTGAATGGAGCGCCAAGTCTTATTTTTCTTAAAATTGCATTGTTGGTTAAGTGTTTGTAAGTAAGCATTTCACTGTAAGGTCTACACCTGTTGTATTCGGTGCATGTGGCAAATAAAATTTGATTTGATTTGGAGAAATGTACCAACTACATGTAATTTGAGCAGCCCAGTACTGTAAAGACATGATATACAAAACTACAGTACACCATTATAAACCATGTATTACAATCGTTCATGCTCAAGACCGATTATCAAATCAAACCACAAAATGGTTTGTCACAATGGTACTTCCATCATACCGTAACATGCAAGACTAACTCACTAATGTGTGTGTGAATGGAAGTACGGTCTCTCTAACATCTCTTTATATTCTTATTTAAAGGTCCAATGCAGATGTTTCTATCTCAATTTGCTCATTATGACCAGTTGAAAAGTCTAAATACTTTGATAAGGTATATGTGTGTCTTTTTTTTATACCAAGGAAGCCACCAGGGAGAACCCTACCTCTTGGAATCACTAATAATATTATTCTATATTGGTCTCTCCATGATCAACAATGTCACAGAAGACAGATAGGAATACATTTCTGAGTGCCGCCACCATTTAAGAAAACAGAGATCCCTATCGCAGTTAAACAATGTTTTCCGGTCCTTTCCAGAGAAGCAACTATAATTGCTTCCAGTGCTGACAGCTAGCGTGACTAAGGCGGAGCTGTGGGAGAGTAATGTACGCGGCCATTAAAACACAATTATATCACCAATTAGATCCCCCCCTAATTACACTATCACAAAGGAGACAGCAGGGGAGGGGAGAGGATGGGGGGAGGAAGAGGGAGGTAGGGAGGGAAAAAGAGGACAGACAGATGGAGAGGAAGAGACGGAGAAATGGAGAAGAGGATAAGGAGAGGACGGAGGGAGGGAGCGAGGGAACAGAGAGAGAGCGGGAGAGAGAGGATACCGTCAGAAAAGCAAAGACAGAAAAAACTCAAATGGAGACTGTGAAGAAGAGGCTTAAACTTTAGTTGAATTTCATTCATTGTTCAATTGCCAAATTAAAGAAGTAACTTCCGCTGTGTACCAAATAGGCCTAAATGCTTTTACACCTCTTACTGTGGGGGAGGGGCCAGATAAGTGAGGTGGTGCCATCACAGAATCTGCGCTGTGTGACTTCTGGTGACCCCAGGGTTCACAACCTCTTAATGAGGAAAGAGCCCAGTGGTGCAGTATGGGTAATTAGAGCTGGGACATTGAGCACCTGCTCTAACAAAGAGGAGGGCCACCTGCCTGTCGCTATATGGGACAGCACCAAGATGTCACTCACTGGCTGCGTCTCAAATGGCACTCTAGGGTGCCAAAGTAGTGCGCTATACAGGGAATATGGTGCCATTTCAGACAAACAATAATTTCACAAGCTGACATGACCTTCTCAGACCTTTCATCTTGTCCATTGGGAGTCGTACGCCACACTGTTGGATGGTTGAAGCCCAGTTTTAAGTGATGATAAAGTTGTGTGTGATAGTGGTCAAACCAGACTGTAGTGGTTGCGATCTAAAAGGAGTGGGTTGTCTGTATGTTCTGTGATTGAGGTGAACCTGTAATGTCGAGGCGACAACGCTTTTTCATCAGAATTCACTAAGAGAGCAGAATTATATTACGGAAATATAATGAAAAAAGAGCATTAAACCTTTGAGTTGACTCACAAATTAACAACATGTTGTCCCACTACCCCTTACACAATAGACTATCTTCAGTAACATGTACACATTCTCATCCCAACGCTCACTAACTCACCCCACAAGTCAGTACATAAAGTTCCAAACCAGGCAAAAACGTCTCAGGCAGGTTTTCACCTTGAGCATGCATGCATCTTGTTGTTCTTTCAAGTGTGTTGTGGACGGAGGTTGTTGACAAGCCACTATACTGCAGTCAGGTCATCCCATTACACCTTGTGTCCCCTCGGTCCCCTCAGGTGAAGTGCTGTAAGTACTGGCCTGACGATACTGAGATCTACAGGGACATGAAGGTGACTCTCATCGAGACCCAGCTGCTGTCAGAGTACGTCATCAGGACCTTCGCCGTGGAAAAGGTACGGACAATCCAAGTGATCATGGTATTGGAAGTCATTAATTGCATTGTATTGTAGTGTATTGTTATTGTTTTCCATTGTATGTATTATAGATAAAGCAACATGTAAAGTGTTGGTCCCATGTTTCATGAGCTGAAATAAAAGATCCCAGAAATATTCCATACACACCAAAAGCTTATTTCTCTAATATTTTGTGCACAAATTTGTTTACATCCCTGTTAATGAGCATTTCTCCTTTGCCAAGATAATCCATCCACCTGAAAGGTGTGGCATATCAGAAGCTGATTAAACAGTATGATCATTACACAGGTGCACCTTGTGCTGGAGACAATAAAAGACCACTCTGAAAAGTGCAGTTTTGTCACACAACACAATGCCACAGATGTCTCAAGTTTTGAGGGAGCGTGCAATTGGCATGCTGACTGCAGGAATGTCCACCAGAGCTGTTGCCAGATAATTGAATGTTAATTTCTCTACCATAAGCCGCCTCCAACATCGTTTTAGAGAATTTGGCAGTATGTCCAACCGGCCTCACAACCGCAGACCACTTGTAACCACGCCAGCCCAGGACCTCCACATCCGGCTTCTTCACCTGCGGGATCATCTGAGCTATCGACAATGAACACCATTGCATTTTATTGATGGCAATTTCAATGCACAGAGATATCGTGACAAGATCCTGAGGCCCATTGTCATGCCATTCATCCGCTGCCATCACCTCATGTTTCAGCATGATAATGCACGGCCCCATGTCGCATTGATCTGTACACAATTCCTGGAAGCTGAACATTTCCCAGTTCTTCCATGGCCTGCATACTCACCAGACATGTCACCCATTGAGCATGTTTGGGATGCTCTGGATCGACGTGAATGACAGCGTGTTCCAGTTCCCGACAATATCCAGCAACTTCGCACAGCCATTGAAGAGGAGTGGTACAACATTCCACAGGCCAAAATCAACAGCCTGATCAACTCTATGCGAAGGAGATGTTGCGCTGCATGAGGCAAATGGTGGTCACACCAGATACTGACTGATTTTCTGATCCACGCCCTCCCCTACCTTTTTTAAAGGTATCTGTGACCAACAGATGCATATGTTTATTCCCAGTCATGTGAAATCCATAGATGTAGGGCCTAATGAATTTATTTTAATTGACTGATTTCCTTATACGAACTGTAACTCCCACCTAGGCAATAAACGGAGGCCATTTTTCTCAGAACACTCACCACGCATTGGCTATCACTGCCTTAACGCTATTCATACCAGTCACCGTCATGTATAGTGAGGGGGAAAAAGTATTTGATCCCCTGCTGATTTTGTACGTTTGCCCACTGACAAAGAAATGATCAGTCTATAATTTTTAATGGTAGGTTTATTTGAACAGTGAGAGACAGAATAACAACAACAAAATCCAGAAAAACACATGTCAAAAATGTTATAAATTGATTTGCATTTTAATGAGGGAAATAAGTATTTGACCCCCTCTCAATCAGAAAGATTTCTGGCTCCCAGGTGTCTTTTATACAGGTAACGAGCTGAGATTAGGAGCACACTCTTAAAGGGAGTGTTCCTAATCTCAGCTTGTTACCTGTATAAAAGAAACCTGTCCACAGAAGTGATCAATCAATCAGATTCCAAACTCTCCACCATGGCCAAGACCAAAGAGCTCTCCAAGGATGTCAGGGACAAGATTGTAGACCTACACAAGGCTGGAATGGGCTACAAGACCACCGCCAAGCAGCTTGGTGAGAAGGTGACAACAGTTGGTGCGACTATTCACAAATGGAAGAAACACAAAATAACTGTCAATCTCCCTCGGCCTGGGGCTCCATGCAAGATCTCACCTCGTGGAGTTGCAATGATCATGAGAACGGTGAGGAATCAGCCCAGAACTACACGGGAGGATCTTGTCAAAGATCTCAAGGCAGCTGGGACCATAGTCACCAAGAAAACAATTGGTAACACACTACGCCGTGAAGGACTGAAATTCTGCAGCGCCCGCAAGGTCCCCCTGCTCAAGAAAGCACATATACAGGACCGTCTGAAGTTTGCCAATGAACATCTGAATGATTCAGAGGAGAACTGGGTGAAAGTGTTGTGGTCAGATGAGACCAAAATCGAGCTCTTTGGCATCAACTCAACTCGCCGTGTTTGGAGGAGGAGGAATGCTGCCTATGACCCCAAGAACACCATCCCCACCGTCAAACATGGAGGTGGAAACATTATGCTTTGGGGGTGTTTTTCTGCTAAGAGGACAGGACAACTTCACCGCATCAAAGGGACGATGGACGGGGCCATGTACCGTCAAATCTTGGGTGAGAACCTCCTTCCCTCAGCCAGGGCATTGAAAATGGGTCGTGGATGGGTATTCCAGCATGACAATGACCCAAAACACACGGCCAAGGCAACAAAGAAGTGGCTCAAGAATAAGCACATTAAGGTCCTGGAGTGGCCTAGCCAGTCTCCAGACCTTAATCCCATAGAAAATCTGTGGAGGGAGCTGAAGGTTTGAGTTGCCAAACGTCAGCCTCGAAACCTTAATGACTTGGAGAAGATCTGCAAAGAGGAGTGGGACAAAATCCCTCCTGAGATGTGTGCAAACCTGGTGGCCAACTACAAGAAACGTCTGACCTCTGTGATTGCCAACAGGGGTTTTGCCACCAAGTACTAAGTCATGTTTTGCAGAGGCGTCAAATACTTATTTCCCTCATTAAAATGCAAATCAATTTATAAAATTTTTGACATGCGATTTTCTGGATTTTTTTGTTGTTATTCAGTCTCTCACTGTTCAAATAAACCTACCATTAAAATGTTAGACTGATCATTTCTTTGTCAGTGGGAAAACATACAAAATCAGCAGGGGATCAAATACTTTTTTCCCTCACTGTATTTCCTATATTACCTCACTTTCAGAGAAGGGGTTTCCTGGTTGTTTTGTGTTCAGACATGCTAGCTACTATATTCCACCCCTGGACAGAGCTTCATTTACTCACCTCCCAACTACTTTACTGAGGGTTCTTAGATACTTCCTCTATAATAGGTCCATCTGTCTTTCAGAATGCCTGTCTGTCTGTATAGTAGCTATTTTGTATGTGTTTCTCATCCTATTGTACTCAGGGCTGCTACCAGGCCTTTCTGCTTTGCCACTTCTTCTATCCCCCTGTGCTTTTAAGCTGTGAATATTTCCCCTGCCGTGTGTGTGTGTTCATGAGTGCTCAAGGCTCTCAGACTGGTGTCCGCCCTGCTGTCTGTATCCAGCCTGCTTGCTATGTGTGTGAATCACCACTCTCCTCCAGCTGTTCTTCTCCTCTTTCCATCCCCCCAGAGATAGGCTTTGTCATCCCTGCTTTATCTACTTTAGTGTTTTGATCAAGAACAAGATCAAAACACAACTTTGATCACGAAAAACAGCTAACTTTAAAGTGCTTAGAGGGAGGGGAGGGAGAGGAGGGGAGGAGAGGAGAGGAGGGGAGGGAGAGAGAGCTGCTGCTCAAAGTTAAAAAGCTCTGGGTCTGTTTGGGTGTGGGTCAGAATTCCAAGCATCTGTACGACCTCTATGATGTTTGTGTCCTTGGTTCTTGTGAATCCAAACAAAGTAATCAACTGTATCTTTCTGTCTTCCCTCTCCAGAGGGGAGCCCATGAGATCCGGGAGATCCGTCAGTTCCACTTCACGGGCTGGCCGGACCACGGGGTGCCCTACCACGCCACCGGCCTGCTGGGCTTCGTACGCAGGGTCAAGTCCAAGACCCCTGCCAACGCCGGTCCCATGGTGGTCCACTGCAGGTCAGACACACACTCACACTGAGGGAGGATCTAATAGATATCTGGGGGCTGTCTCGATGTAGATATCCTTTCTCTTGGTGGAGAAGGGAAGGGGCGACAGGGGGAGAGAGAGGGAGAGAAGCTAGAGAGGGGAACTAGAGCAAGTCGAGTAGAAGAGGAAAGAGGAGGGGGGAGGAGCGAGCGATGAGAGAGGAGGAGAGAGAGAGAGCGCGAGAGAGAGGAGAGAGAGCGAGAGAGAGAGAGTAGAGAGAAGAGAGAGAGCTAGAGAGACGAGAGCGAGCAGAGCGAGAAGGGGGTAGCGATCTATAGAGAGCTCAGAGCGCAGAGAAACAGAGCTGGAGATCGAGACTATAGCTATATATCTCTCTCTCGCTCTCTCTCTCTCTCTCTCTCTCTCTCTCTCTCTCTCTCTCTCTCTCTCTCTCTATCTCAATTATCTTCATCTGGTATGACTCAAAGAAGTTCCTAATGGATATTAGTAAAGTAATCTCACTCCCAACAGCCACAAGTGAGATCAGCCACACTAAATAAAATAGATCTGCTATTGTCAGCCACACCCACAACTGTTTAGACTCTCATGTACAATCTGTCCTGATGTTTTCCAGCCAAATAGTCCCCGATCATTTGGGAACCGGGGCTTTGCTATGAAGAGTGTGTGTTGTGCTCTGGTTCTCACGCTGTGTGTGTGTGTGCGTGCGTCATCAGTGCGGGGGCGGGCAGGACCGGCTGTTTCATCGTGATTGACATCATGCTGGACATGGCTGAGAGAGAGGGTGTGGTCGACATCTACAACTGTGTGAGAGAGTTGCGCTCAAGAAGGGTTAATATGGTCCAGACAGAGGTAAGAATGACATTGTCCCCGCTCCAATCCAAACACACAGAGAGAGAGAGAAACACACACAGAGACGTGCACACACACATACACAAACAGACACACATGTAACAGTGTTGCTTCGGTCCCTCTCCTCGCCCCTACCTGGGCTTGAACCAGGGACCCTCTGCACACATCGACAACAGTCACCCTCGAAGCACCGTTAACCGTCGCTCCACAAAAGCAGCGGCCCTTGCAGCGCAATGGAAACAACTACTTCAAGGTCTCAGAGCGAGTGACGTCACCGATTGAAACACTACTAGCGCGCCATTTCACACCGGTTACACTCACACACACCGCTACACGACCCTGCTCCAAGTGTCCCCACTCAATTCCACTGTACACAATCCCAAACACACCACACACACTCACGCACACACACACAGTCTTGTATAACTAACTTTGTGGGGACACACAATTCATTCCCATTCAAAATCCTATTTTCCCTAACCCTAAACTTAACCTTAACCTGAAAACCTAACCCTATACCTAACCCTAGCCCTAACACTAATTCTAACCTTAACCCTAAACCCCACAAGTACAGTTAAACACGTCACACACATACAGACGTTCCCCAAACAGACGCATTTCATTCTGTCAATACATGATACACATGAAACCATGGACCCATACAGGACAGGGTGTGTATTCTCCAACACAATGTGACAGACTGTCTACAATTGTAGGATTCTTCTTTTGTATTTAAAATTCCATTGGCACAACCAATCCCAAACATCTGGCTAAACAGACTATGTGACACAATGATACTTGACAAGGAACATGAGCCAACTCATTAGCCCTGTGCAAATATTATTCAGCTCAGAGTAAAAATGCAACAGACTAGTGTTTGCTTTTAATTATAGTTAATAGTTGATGATTTAGAACAAATAGAAACATGCTAAAGTTCAAACTCCTAAATCCCAGACAATACTATATTAATGCACAATAAAAAAAAGTGTCTAATGCCATGCTGTATGCAAGCTTTACTTTGTTTGATTGACTTCCATTATATACTTTTAATTTATATAAACTGACAAATTGATAGCTCAAAAGCTATTCAAAGTTTTCTTGGAGGACATGCTGTATACATAGAAATGACATTCATCTCCCCATTACACAAAAAAGCCAGTTTGTGTCTTGTTGTGATATTTCCTAATAATTTGATGACAATTGTGTAGGCTGCAAATCCATTTCACCTCCAACTCCATATCCAAGGGCAGGAGTCTGACATCACAGTAGCCTAACCTGAAAACCACTGACCCTCTGCTCCCAAGGAATTTGTCAGAAGTGACAAGTCGAGACGTTTCTGAAATGTCACTTCATAAATGATTTATGTCAAGCCCGGGGCCTTTTTCCTGAGAGAAGGAGAGGAAGAGGGGGAGTATTGACATAGGAAAGGTCAATGGAAATGGTCACTTTGGAGGTGACACAGGTTGTGTCCCAAATAGCACCCTATTCCCTTATATAGTGCACTACTTACCTGGAGAAAGGAAGTCCACTACATAAGGAATAGGGTACCATTTGGCTCAGCCACAGTCTTAGGAAACACACAAGGGTTTAAACAACATGATAATAATACCCAGTCCCAACGTCTAACATCCAGGATTCTGTATTTCTTAAGACCAATTGGAAAACAGGATTGGATTAAGATCTGATTTGAATTGTCACCAAAAATGGTTTTTGGAACCGTGTCATGATCGACTTGACTTGAGTCAATCATGACTTTGGTTTGGTCATGTTTCTGTGTTACCTCAATGTATAGGTTACTATTGGTTGTCAATGTGAGCTCTTCCTGATGTGTGTCTAGGCGTAGCATACCTTTCTGTCCCTCACGATATCCTGTGCCCCGCTTTGTACCCTACAGGAGCAGTACGTGTTCATCCACGACGCCATCTTGGAGGCGTGTCTGTGCGGGGACACCACCATCCCAGCCAACCAGCTGCGATCGGTCTACTATGACATGAACCGCCTGGACCCCCAGACTAACTCCAGCCAGATCAAAGAGGAGTTCAGGGTACGTGGTGTGAGCATGCATTGTTCATCGTACATGCATACGTATATTGTATATTGGTGTACATAAATGCTCTTCACTCACCTCCAATTGTGCCTTGGAGTGTGTCTCTACCAGGCTCATATCCCCACTTCCCTCCCTCCCTCCAGACTCTGAACATGGTGACTCCTACGTTACGTGTGGAGGACTGCAGTATCGCCCTGCTCCCCAGGAACCACGAGAAGAACCGCTGCATGGACGTCCTTCCTCCCGACCGCTGTCTGCCATTCCTCATCACCATCGACGGAGAGAGCTCCAACTACATCAACGCCGCCCTCATGGATGTACGTCTCTCTCACACACACACGTGCACACACACACACGCACACACACTCATTCTCACACACACTCAAACTTAGGCACGCTCACTCGTAACCTTTTTAAATGACTTGCAGTGTCAGTCCATGTGCAAGTCATTGGATGTAAGTGTACTGCTGGAAAAGTGCTGAGTCAATAGTCAAACTGTTCTTTTTTTAATCATTGTGCTGAAATATGATGATGTAGATAGGTCAGTGTTCAATCACCGATCTACATAAAGGGCAGATTTGGCACTTTGAATGAAGAGCAAACTTTATTAGTGGGAGATTAGTGGCATATTGGCTGTCTGTGACATGACATCTTTATTGTGGAGAAAGGAGAGAGGGGGGAGTGGGAGAAAAAGACGCAGAGGGACCAAAGGGGAAGGAAGAGGGAGGAATTGGGGAATAGCGTAGAGGGAGACAGAAAGGGGAAGAAGGAAACAGATAGAGAGCGCGCAAGGGACAGCGGGCAACTCAGCAGTCCTGGGGCGTCCTGTGGTTTAAATAGCTGGTGTGTAAAAAGCCCATCCATCTCTATAATAATCACCCCACATTACTTAGCCAGCCATTTCCCAGCCAAACCTAAACAGTAGGGGGACAGTGTATCATGTTGATGAATGGTGCTTTTTCAGTGCTTCCACCAACAATTATGTCCTTATTGAAAATGATTAAAAAACAGATGGCTTTGGATGGATTTGTCCCATCGTCATGGAAATAACCAAAACCATCCATAATTGCAATTTGTTTTTTGTCGAACACAGCAGTATGGCTCAGTTTGGATTGGTTTTATGGAAATAATGTGTCATCAATTATACTCTTGCATATTTGATATATACAATAAGGATATAGTATGTGGTCGCAGTGTTGATAGTGGAATTCATTCAGAGCGATTATGAATATCTGGGCAGAATTACTTCCCCTGTACATGATTCCTCAAAAGCAAAATGGCCCACAGACCTCTTATACATACACCCTCACATAGTAGCCTGAACTTGATTGTGAGAATTCATTGCATTATGACTAAAGGTCTGGTGACATGTTCTTTATCTTAGTGACATAAATAATGGCTTTCTGTTCATTTTGTGGTTGCTGACTTTCTCTTCCTCCTCCACAGAGCTACAAGCAGCCGTCTGCGTTCATTGTTACCCAGCACCCCTTGCCCAACACGGTCAAAGACTTCTGGAGGCTGGTGCTGGACTACCACTGCACCTCCATAGTGATGCTCAACGACGTAGACCCAGCACAGGTAAGACTAACACACACACCTCCCATACACACACACACACAAGAGAGGCCAATCAAGTCAATCCAAACCATGCCAAGCCATGCAATCCTTTATCATACTATCAAAGACATTCCAGACTCCGTTATAGCCTAGTCATTAGTACATGATCATAGATAGATCTATACCAATAGGGTTGAAAGAGGGGAAGGGATCTGCCTCAAATGGCCTGGAGCCCTGTCTGTCAAAATGTTCAAAGGATAGCACGTGGCAGCATTTCCTAGCAACACCACCCAGCTTGGGTGGCTACAGTATCCTCTCATTTCCTATTCTGACTGTAGCCCGGCAACAAGTTCCACAGCTCCTATATACAGCTCTGGAAAAAATTAAGAGACCACTGCAAATGTTCCTTAAATCAGCATCTCTACATGTATGATAGCCATTCCATTCCAGTGTCTGTTGAATTCCAACACAGGCACACATTTTTCTACTGAATTAGGTACTGATTAGGTGATCACCTGAACCAAATGTTATTTAACAAGGAAAAGTATAAAAACCACTGCTGTGGTCATCACTATCCTCTTGCAATAGGACCAGCTGGATGGCAAAAACAGTGCTAATAGTACCTCAAAGGTAATATTAATCAAAAAATAACTATTGACCATGCCAAAAGAGTTGAAAAGGAAAGTTTTGAGTGAGGAAAAAAGGGTTCAATTCTGGCTTTACTGGCAGTGGATACAGTGAGCGTCAGGTTGATTCCATCCTTAAAATTTCAAAGACGGCGGTTCATAAGAACAAGGTCAAGCAGCAGACATTGGGGACAACAAAGCTGCAGAGGGCAAAAACGACTCTCTTCTGACCGGGATGACCGCCAACTCATTCAAATGTCACTCAACAACCGTAGGATGACATCAAGTGACGTACAAAAAGAATGGCAAACGGCAGCTGGGGTGAAGTGCACGGCGAGGACTGTTCGAAACAGGCTCCTAGGGGCAGGGCTGAAGTCGTGCAAAGCTAGATAAAAAGCCCTTCATCAATGAGAAGAAAAGAAGAGCCAGGCTGAGGTTTGCAAAATACCATAAGGATTGGACCATAGAGGACTGGAGTAAGGTCATCTTCTCTGATAAGTCCAATTTTCAGCTTTGCCCAACACCTGGTCGTCTAATGGTTAGACAGAGACCTGGAGAGGCCTACACAAGCCACAGTGTCTCGCACTCATTGTGAAATTTGGTGGAGGATCGGTGATGATCTGGGGGTGCTTCAGCAAGGCTGGAATCGGGCAGATTTGTCTTTGTGAAGGACGCATGAATCAAGCCACGTACAAGGTTGTCCTGGAAGAAAACATACTTCCTTTTGCTCTGACATTGTTCCCCAACTCTGAGGATTGTTTTTTCCAGCAGGACAATGCGCCATGCCACACAGCCAGGTCAATCATGGTGTGGATGGAGGACCACCAGATCAAGACCCTGCCATGGCCAGCCCAATCTCCAGACCTGAACCCCATTGAAAACTTCTGGAATTTGACCAAGAGGAAGATGGATGGTCACAAGCCATCAAACAAAGCCGAGCTGCTTGTATTTTTGCGCCAGGAGTGGCATAAAGTCACCCAACATCAATGTGAAAGACTGGTGGAGAGCATGCCAAGACGCATGAAAGCTGTGATTGAAAATCAGGGTTATTCCACCAAATATTGATTTCTGAACTCTTCCTAAGTTAAAACATTAGTATTGTGTTGTTTAAAAATGAACATGAACTTATTTTCTTTGCATTATTCGAGGTCTGACAACACTGCATCTTTTTTGTTATTTTGACCAGTTGTCATTTTCTGCAAATAAATGCTCTAAATGACAATATTTTTATTTGGAATTTGGGAGAAATGTTGTCAGTAGTTTATAGAATAAAACAAAAATTTTAATTTCACCCAAACACATACCTATAAATAGTAAAACCAGAGAAACTTATATTTTTGCAGTGGTCTCTTAATTTTTTCCAGAGCTGTATATGGTGGAATGGCCTAGTTCATGTCTTTGTGTTTTCTTTCATCTGCTGTTGATGAGGAGGCTCAATAGAACAGGACAGTCAGGCGGTGTTTCACTGTCCTCAACTGTTGTTGGATTGTAGATGTTTTTGTGTATTTGAAGGCATGATCTTGAAAGGAAAATGACAGAATTGCAGTTATCAAAAGATCGGTGAATGTGAATGCCAACTCAATCAATAGGCTCTCATTCAATGTCTCATTTGAAATGTGTGTGTGTGTGCAGCTGTGTCCCCAGTACTGGCCGGAGAACGGAGTGCACCGCCACGGGCCCATCCAGGTGGAGTTTGTGTCAGCTGACCTGGAGGAGGACATCATCAGCAGGATATTCCGCGTCTACAACGCTGCACGGGTACGAGACAGAACACTGCACGCACACACACACTCCTGTTCCTACAGCTACTCTACTATAGCAGACATAGAGACATAGACATAGAGATATACACACACACACACGGTAATGCTAACACGTCCATTTCTCTCTCTCCAGCCACAGGACGGGTATCGCATGGTGCAGCAGTTCCAGTTCCTGGGCTGGCCCATGTACCGGGACACCCCTGTGTCCAAGCGCTCCTTCCTCAAGCTCATCCGCCAGGTGGACAAGTGGCAGGAGGAGTATGACGGGGGAGAGGGACGCACCGTGGTGCACTGTCTGTAAGTACCTACCGGTCATGTCTCAGCCTACACCTAGTACTGGACAGGAGACCTTTACTAGCTCTGTACTTCCCAAGTGGGTGGAAAGAGTAGGGGGTTCTTTGGTATCTGATGTAACCCCCCCCCCCCCCCCCCCCCCCCCCCCCCCCCCCCCCCTCTAATTCGATACAACATGGCCGCCCAAAATGCCACCGGGGTCACAGTGACACTGGACCACTCCGATGGGACAGTGAGAAATGTCACTGTCCTCTTCTGATGGCGATCACATACACTAGCCACGGGGATGCAGTCCTCGTGGCACACCATCCTGCCTTCTGACAGCCTTCTGGAAACTGTGACATTTTGAAGGCCCACCAGACAGCGCTCAGTGCTCATACAAACACTAGCTGTCATCATAATGAACCATTCAAGCACAAAGCCATTTAAAGTTCCACGTCGTAATTCAAAAAAGAACAAAATAGCAGCCCTGCCACTTGGTTTGCTATAAAGCTCAGGGATGGGGCTGAACATATTCTTCAAGTATATATCATTAATTTAAAATAATCAAAAAACGGTTGACAATCTCAATCTCTCTATCTCAATATTTTACCCATTAGTCTGGCCCAAGTATACTATTTAACCGGACAAATCAGTGTGATATCACAGAATGAATGTGAATATGCAATCCGTCCCAGGTGATCTCCACTCACTAAATAGGAGAAGTAGAGGAGAGAGGCTGCTGAATTACCAGAGGGAGTAAATCAAATCAAATGAGCTTGTGGTTCCCAATGCTGCCCAGATTTTAATCTTAATGTCCCGGTGGGAGAGGCCTCTGGGTGGGTCTCTGTCTCAGCTCAATCTGCTCTTATCTCCAGCAGCTCTACTTTACTCAGATAGATGGAGGGGAGGAGAGGAGAGAGGGAAGCCGTGAGAGGCTCACTCGTTTCCTGAGGCTCTAGTTGGGTGGGAAATCGGAAAAAGATGGAGGGAGGGATGGTGGGAACGGAGGAGTGTATGTGTGGACAACAGGGTCATTGTTGATGTAATCTGTGGCTGGTGCTGTTTAACAGGGTTACTAGTCTGGTCTGTAAGCCAGAGAGTCCAAAAGAATCATCCAGATACATGACTCTCATTAGAGTCTCCGAAGAGATTCCAATCGCCCCCGACCAGAGCGGCACACACACACACACACACACACTATAAACCAGAGACAAGCAGCACACACAGTACACACACACTGAACGGAGCCAGCAGGGCCTGCTGCTAAACTAACGTCAGCAAGAAAACACTGCCCCCCCACCCACACTCCAGTCACAGAGTCAATGTTTAGTCTCACAGAGCTCCCTCCCTGCATCCTCATGTCCAAACATCCATCGCAACCATCTCAACGTCTCTTGAGCTACACCCTTTTCCCTATATAGTGCACTACTTTTGACCAGGGCTCTATATAGGGAATAGGATGCCATTTTGGACACAGCCTCTGTTTCACCAGAACATTCTGGAAACATGCGTAAGGCCAGAGAAATATGGAGATTGACAGAGGTCAACTCCTGAGAGAGGCGACTCCTGCTAAGGAAAGAAGTGAATATGCGTCCACTGAACTCAAACTGCTTCCTCAATTTATGACGCCCTCCTCTTGCAACTCTTAAAAGCTCTTTGGCTTTCAAGACAGGGCTGGAAAGACCGTGAAGTTGCACATCTGGAAACGGTTCTGAGAAAGAGCAGCTTTTCATGAGGAGTTTACGAACTACTTAAGAGTGCCAGCTGTAGGCTATGTTCCACACTTGAGTGTCAGTTGGTAGCCAATACTGTGCAATGGTGGATTGACAGTAGTGTGGTGCCATCTAGAGGGGAAAATCAAGAACAGCAAGCACAGGAAGAGATGCTGATACATTTAGCCAAGCTCTATGAAACATGTCATGAATCAACCACCATACATCACTGATAATGTTATTCATTCATGAAGCTTACAATTAATACCAAGCCAGCAGTTAAAATGTTTTATAACTTGTATGATTACAAAGGAATAAAAAAATGAAGATCATTTTAGGGCTCCAATGCTTAGCAATTCTGACCATTTTTTATTGTCTGATATATGTAGATTTATATATGTATAATCATCAATATAATGTCTTGGTCTATTATCTAACCCTTTCTTTCTCTCTCTTTATCTCTCTCTCTCTCTCTCTCGCTCTCTCTCTCTCAGGAATGGTGGAGGACGCAGCGGGACGTTCTGTGCAATCAGTATCGTGTGCGAGATGCTCCGCCATCAGCGTTCGGTTGACGTGTTCCACGCGGTCAAAACGCTGAGGAACAACAAACCCAACATGGTCGACTTACTGGTAAGAACCGGTCCTGATCTAGGATCAGTTTTCTCTTTTAGATCATAAGGTATAACATTACATGGACCGGTGGGGGGCACTCCTACTCCTACTCTGAGAGCCTTTATGAAAACAGGCCCCCTAACCCTTATAGTGGTTTATTGGTCCTCACTACGAAGTCTACAGTTGGGTACTTCTGGGACAAGTTGGGTTGCCAAAGTCTATTAAACTTGACTCCAGAATTATTAAGTGATAGAAATTGCTGTTGACATTTACAATAAGGAGAAAATAGCACTGTGATTGTGAATAACTCTGGCATTATAATGCATTAAAGGCCAAGTCAATGCAGCCACGTCTAGTCCAGTCACTGTCATTGATGATGTACTCTTCTTCCCATTCATCCACAGGATCAATACAAGTTCTGCTATGAGGTGGCACTGGAGTACTTGAATTCTGGTTAGCTGGACTGAAAGCTGCCCCCCCCCATCCGTCCTACCCCCTCCAAACCCCCACACCACAGCCCTCGCAGCTTACCTGGACTGAGTCTCTTAAACCTGAGTGAATGTTGCTTACTGGAGGATAGAACTGAACTGCTGAACAGGGTCGTCCCATCGCACCTCTACGGATTTAGGAAGAGGGGAGGAAAAAAGGTGGTTTGGAACCGGACGCTTTTGCACTGCCCCGCCCCTCCACCCCCTCCCCCAGTCTACGATGAAATGTCCCTGAACATGATTAACTTTACTCCGTCTCACCCCTCCCTCCACTCCACTCCCCTCCCCTCCCCTCCCCTCCCCTCCCCTCCCGCGCTTTGCTTTGTATGTTGAGTGGGATTGGTCTAGACAGCGCTACTGTACCCCCCTCCCCCCCAACCCCTCTCCTCTTTCTACTACACTGTGTTAAAGTATTTACCCTCATCCCGTCCCTCCCCCGTCCCTCAGAACAGCACCTGATCACTGAACAGGAGTTCACACTGATGTATTCTACTGCCCATATGTCACCCCCTCCCACCCCAACCCTAGTATTTTTTAAAGTTTCTTTATTTTTTCAACAAAAAAGCTCTCCTCTTGCCAGTGAATCCTGTTTATTGCCTTTTTAATCCTGATCGGATGATCAATGTCATTTCCATTTTTGTGGGGAATGCGATATAAGTGTAATGTTGATGATATGTTGTTTTTTATCCATGTTTTTAATTTCAATTGATACATTTTTTTTAACAATCTTTGTTAATATGATGAAGGTGTTTGACATATATAGCTAAAGTTGAACCGGCATTAAGAAAGAAAGCGAAATCTTAAATGTTTATGCTGCCATTGCTTTGGTCACTGAGTATCGTCGTATTGGCAGGAGGAAAAAACCGCTGTCCGGTACCATCCACACGCAAGCTTTTCATCACGTCAACAGATCCAAAGCTTAATTAATTGTGGTCATTATTGTTAATATTGTAAATATTATGAAGTTGGACAGACTATTTATTCATTGAGCGTTTTTGTGAAGCACATTGAGTGACAATCATGATTTTTTGGGGGGGTCATATTATTAAAAAAGAATTGGACTCTGCATAATGTTGACCAGATGTATTGTAAGCCTTTTATTTATCTTGTATGGAAAAAAACTACTCAAACTTACAAATACATACATATCTACTGATATACGTGTGTTTTTTGCGTGTTGTGCAGATTATTTTGTTCTTATACCCATTTTTAGTGGCTGTTTAAAGAAATCTGAGCCATGGATTACAGTTTCTCCTGACTCATAGACTACTTTCAGGGTAAGGAACCATCCAACATTGTTATAAAATACATAATTTATACTTTAAGGTTGAGCTTTTTAAGGTATGTATGCCATGAGATAGTGTATGTTAGCAGTTGGTCTGATTTTTTAATTTTAGTCAACTTTTTGAAAAAAACATTTACTGATCATGATAAAGTTACATTGAATTCATTGCATGGATGCCAGTTGTAGTGAAGAGCATACCCTTTGTTCAATGGCAGTGTCGTGACGTGACTTTCATTAATATGATGACTGTTATTTATCGAATCAACTAACTATGTTTAATTGTTACTCGATTAAGTTAATCATGTAACAATTAACTCATTGGGATATGGGGCACCACGGAATAAGTTGTTTATAGAGTTACCATATCCCGAATTAAACTCTAAAGGTCTTTACCTATCAATATGTATAAAACAGTCGACGTATTAATCATTACCTCTTATCAGTCTCATTCTGAACGGTCGTAGACTTCTTGGATCTGCACAAACCCCTGCTTTACATGATTCAACACTACACAAATTGGCTTAATTATTTATTTACTAGCTGACTAAATAATAACACAGAATAACATACACACTTAATACATGAGAAAAGGTCCCTAGCGGACTAAAAACAACATGACTGCTTGGTTACCAAAAGAGGGAGGGGTAGAGAGAGAGAGACAAAGAGAAAGAGACAATTATCGTTGATACATTTGGAAACGACCCTCAAAGTAGTCATAATACTTTGCTCACGAACCACCCCCCGTTTGTAGTAAGAAATCATGAATGTATTTACGTGTGGATGTCATTGTTTGTCGTCTATCTCTGTTGACCCAAGCCCTCTTGGAAAGGAGGTTTTGGCTAGGTCTTCGCTCAGCTCACTTGTAAGGCTCTGATTGTCCACAAGAGGTCACAATGTCCTTCTTCTTAGTTGTCCTGGTTTGTATTGGAATGTTTTCTCAGAACAGATACTCAGATGTACCAGTTCTTGTCTGAGAGGGGAGCTTTCTTCTACCCACCTCGTGTGGTTAGTCAGAGTTTGAGCCACTTTACACACACCGCTGCAGCCTGGCAATGTTCAGGTCTAGTCTGGGAGTTGGTCTTCTTCACCTCGTGTTTCAGACGTGTAGACCACCGTGAGTTTATTTTAACCTGGCCTTTTATGCACTCTGGGTAAAAGGGGCGTTCCATCATTCTGACATGATCTCTGAGCTCACTCGGGGTGTGGCTAGTTACTTATGCTTATATGAAAAATGATTATCTTATTAGAAAACTAAAATCACATTCCTATCTTAACAAAAATACTTTCATCATTCTTCATATCTCATGCACAACATATAAGATGAAGACTTGACAGAGTGTGTATACTTTCCAAGTTACAATAACTTAGGATACCATTCTTAATGACGTCACAAAATAATGAACAATATGACATGATTATTCTTTAGGTCCCCACTGACCATTCCCCACGTTCTGATGTTGGAAATATTGCTCCAGTGTTAACTTTTTGGATGTTATAGTTTTGTCAGCAAAAGTATTCTGGAGACATTCCAATCAATACTGGAGAGCAAGAAAGAAATTCCCCTCCTACCTAATTTACCACCTTCTTTAACCTATTTCCTCCCCTTCATCTACATTTTAGTCATTTAGCAGACGCTCTTATCCAGAGCGACTTAGTGAGTGCATACATTTTTCATACTGGCCCCCCGTGGGAATCGAACCCACAACCCTGGCGTTGCAAGCACCATGCTCTACCAACTGAGCTACAGGAGGGCCTACACTGATTGAAGTGGATTTAACAAGTGACATTAATAAGGGATCATAGCTTTCACCTGCTCAGTCTGTCAATGTTTCCTACACTGTATATTGAGGCAACAAACTACAAGACCCAGCATGCACCTCACTGACTTTTCCTCATTTAACCCCACTGTGTCTAATGGAGGTGATTATGAGATAAACAATCTAAAACGAGGATATTGACAGGTTATTTATTTGGTAAATTGATAATGAATTGATTCATGCATATCATTGTATTTTTGGGAGCTTATTAACAACAAAATTAAATAACATATTATTGTAGTCCACTATATGCTCTGTGGATACACAGTGTATTTTATGTATAAAATGGATTACTGAAGGATTATTGATACTGCTGGAAGTGGAGTTGGAATTTGGAGGACCAATAGTCAAACCCATCCCGCTTCATTCCAAAGGTTAGTTCACAATCTCACTGGATTATGAGTTGTCAGTGCAGACTGAGTCGTCATGCTATTTGGCGCGAGACAAAGCTGTAACCCAAGCATATTGCCTTTTGGCACATATTTGCTGTTTAATAAAATAGCCAACTCAAAAGGTTAGTTCCCAATCTGGACAATTGAAGACACTGAGTATGCAACATTTGAATGATTAACTTCATCAGTTCCAGTGTGCCTATTAGCCTATGATCTTTCGAGTTACCTAGATAATTATTCTACAGGAGTTGACATAGAGAGAGAGCAGAGGTGTATCATAGGTCTGTCTACATTAACTATTATATATGTCGATGCATTTGTTATTTGATACAGTGTGATGATGGCCAATACAAGACCCCCGGTGGCTCTAGTCTCTCAATGTAACATAGTGTAGGATTCTGTGTTACGGTGAGGTAAGGAGAATGCTGCTGATATTAAGTGGAGACACTGCAAGTCTCCCAAGTCACCACAAGATGGCAGCAGAGACCAGAGCCCGAGCCTTTATGAACCCAATGACTCTCGTCTGCTGCTGACTTTCTGATTGGAGCTGCTTTGTCAAAGACCCTCTCATCTCGTTTTGAATGCAAATTAATGTCAATAAATATGGTACCCATATATTTCTATAAATAATAATAGGCCAATATGAATGTGTACCCACAGAAGGATCTGCACATGTTCAACTTTACACAGTCAAACCTCTAGATGTATATAGTTGGACACTATGCGCGAGTTACATTTCTTCACATTCCTTCATTCTATTCAGCATGAATCCTTTCCACATGTCAAAAATTGCTGTCTGAGTGCCATCATAACGAAATTGATAGTAAATTCTCCAGTCGTCATATTTGACAGCCAATTAATTTCGTGCTTGTGAAAACAGTGAATATACCTTATCCAACCGCAGCTCAAGAAGAGGACAGAGACCCTCCTTTCTGCGTATGCGCAACCAACCAACGGCGAGCAGTAATGAATTGTTCAGATGGTATTGCTTTTGGGAGTGACGCGGAGGATACAGATGCTCGACTACTTTTTCCCCCCGGTTAAATTGTTGTAATTCCACGCGTAATTTCTGCTTCTTATCGTGTTCGACATATCATTTGACATCTGTTCCAGTTTTTGATCAGTTGTGTAGGCTTCTGTATGTCGATATTGATGTAGTGTCGCTAAAAGATGCCTCAACCGAAATCCCGAAAAATCGCCGTCCTGGGATACAGATCCGTGGGTAAGTGGGCGCAATTTAGTCGTTTTCGGTGATAGCGAGGTCCATTGTGCGCTTTCTGTGTAGGCAAGTTCAATGACGATGACTACACATACTACTGGCAAACGTATTTTAGCCTAAACGTTATGCACATAGCGAGCGGCGGCTACTGCTGCCTGGTCATTGATTGTTAAATAAGCCAGTCAGATGACTGGAAACTCAACGACTCTAGAGATTTAGTGTAGCACTAGCTACAGCAGCATGTACCCCTGGACCAGTGTTGCTGTTCTCAATTCGTAAACTACATTTTCACGTTTCGTTGAATAAAAAGATGCAGTCAGCGGCACGTGATGCATTATCCTCATCAATTGTATTTGAATAACTTAAATGGCAGTCTATAGTTAATTGTGTTATGCACACAGTAATTGAAAATCATCTCTTTTATTTTGTTACGTCAATGTTTGGTCAAAAAAGTGCTTACACAAGCCACTAGTAAGATAGAGTTGATGCCACAGCAGTTGAGGACAGCACAAGCGGTCATGATACTGGGATGTAAATGAAAACGTCACGACTCACGAAAGTAGAAGCATCAATGTCAATGTGGCAGCTTTTTACGAGAGAATTTGTCCAGTTACCTCAAATCTCACTGTTTAAACAAGAAAATGATGGCCTTGTGAGTGTGCGGTTGAAGACATTATTATTTTAGACGCCACTAATCAGTTTAAATGTAGTCTTTAGTAGCCTACTTGTGCTGAGACTTACATTAA